TATGTCAAAGTCTCTCTAATTAGAGGAAAGGGCTACAGTTTATTTACATCATTAGTGGAATAACATTCAGGGAGAAAGAAAAAGTTCAGAACAGTTCAAGGGTAAAATATGGGGCAATTCTCGCATTTTGTAACTTCCCTTAACTGAACAAGTTCCATGAAGTGTAGCATATAATGTCACAGAGTGAGTATACAGAAGAGAAACCGACAATACAACAGAATCAATATTAACTGTTCAAATGCTTAGCCTCAGAGTAGAGAAGAGCCCAGATCCCATCTTTCATGGAAATGAAAAGCACAACACAACTCTTGAAAAGAAAAGAAATATGAAAAAAAATGTAAATACAATCAAAACCCTAAATATTAAAAATGTCTATGTTCCTTCATAATTTTGTACAAGTCCAATATTAAACACTACAAACAGTGGCTTTGTCTTCTTGAGGACCCTCATCTGGGTCTAGAAATTGACACTTTTATGTGTCGTGAAATCCAGTAATTGAATCATAATCATGCACATATATTCTCACACAATTAAGGAAACAAATTTATCATGTTGCACTTCATGTTAAAGAAACAAAGGCATCAGAATAGTAAGATTATTATTGAAATTTGATTATAAGGTTTGCATTACTCTCGCATGCTTCCTTGTGCTAGGTGTTAATTGCCACCCACCTCCCCCTCTGGTGGTCAGGATGGAGCACTTCAGGGCAAGGTACACCAGGGGATTGTTCACCCATTCAGCAATACAGAATCCAGTCACCACAAATACTTAAATCTAGTTCTGTTTCTCAAGAACACTTTAAGATATACTACATAACTATCACTGCCTACAAAGCTAATCCAAGCTTTTAGTAGGCTGCATACCAGGGTGATCGGTTTTCTAGCAAACGTCACTGTAGTAATAAGCCAAGTAACTCCCTCTATAAATTCTGCTGTGACTGAATTCTGTAGCAGCTCATTGAATCAAAATTATATGTTGAAACACCCATTAATTTACCACTCAGTCCAATAGAATATGCAAGCCAATGCTTCCTCCCAAAGAAAAAAGCAATTTATAGAATGACCCTGTTTATGAGGGGCAGACCTGACATCTTCATCTCCCATGCAGTAGTAAGAAACTACATGGGTCTCTGCTAATTTACCATATGGTGGGAGGGTAAAAAGAAGGCTGGTTCCCTGGAGACAAGTGAGAAGCCTAATCTATGTGATTCCCTGTTTTGTCCACATATTTTGGCAACAGGGCTGTGCATTGACAATGAATACCAGAGGCCTTTTCACAGTAAAAAAGCTTTCTAAAGCGACCCATGGAGAACCAAACATTACCCCAGATTAAGTGATTCGGGCTGTGCTAATAAGGGACTTGCAAAAATATTTTTATCCTTACTTCACAAATAGAAAGGCGTAATTATTTACTTTCATTTAAGCTAAGTACCCTTTGCGATTCTTGAACACTCGTGGTATGGGAAGGTTTGAATACAAAATGTTGTCAGAAGTCACTTACACTTTGAGCATGTTTTTATTTAACACCCTCTGTTAATTTTCAGAATGCATTCATGGAGATCTTATTACATGGCAGGCAGCCACGCTGTGACTCAAGGCTGGGGAACTGATAGTGAGGAAGATACAGATGTTTCTTGCCTTCGTAGAAGTCATAGGGTGGTATCAAAGTCAAGCAACAAAGCAACAATACAATCCTAAGGTCCTTTAAGGTTGATGGAGATTTTCTATGTAGGAAAACTAACTCCACTGGAAACCAACGAGAGAGAAGAGATCAACACAGAAAGAAAGAGGAAGAAACACTGAAGGTCACTGCAAAGGTGGAGTTGCATCTGCAGAATACTGCCTCAAGGGAAGATTAGATGTACTCAAGAGGCATAGCTAAGGTCTTCAAGTTTTGTGTAGGCAGATTTTTCTCTCCCACCTGCCAACTCTAATATAACCATATGGAGACTTCTAATTAAATGTGAAATCTTGGCTGATAGCTTAGGCTTGTTTCTAACTAGCTTTTATAACTCAGATTAACCCATTTCTATTAATTACTTTCTGCCTCATGGCTTTATTACTTTTACTCTGCACTGCCCATGGTGCCTCCTCTCTGTCTATCTGGAAACTCCTTGCATCTCTTCCCTTCTTTTTTCCAGTGTCCTCTCTGCCCTGAAAATCGTACCTAGCTATTGGCCATTCAACTTCTTATTAAACCAATCTGAGTGACAAATCTTCACAGTGTACAAAAATTTGTTCCACAACAGTTTGGAGCACACTGGGCAGAGGGTCAAGACAAGACTTTGAATTGCAGAAAACAAGACTGGTTCTTGCAAGGTATTGTAGATTAGATTACAGAAACAGATTTTACTCTAATTGTAATCATATTAATCACTTCAAGAAGGAGAGTCGGGGCTGGAAAGAGAAGCCAATCTTGAGAGAATGGTATGTGCAAATGAGGATTAAAGTTAACTCCCAAGAATACATTTTTAAATATTGGGTATGCTGTCATGTGCTTATAATCCCAGCATTTGGGGAGGCAAGACAGGCTGATCCCTGGGACATGTTTTCCTGCTAGACTGACCAACTAGAGAAATTCTCTTATTAAAAGTAAGGTTGGTTATGTCTAAGGAATCACATTGACCTCCATCTTCTACAAACACATGCATATATGTGTATATGTGTATATATACCACCCCCCACACACAGGATGTTCAGAAGTTTTAGTGGAAGCAACTGTAAGAAAAAACAGAATAAATATAAGGATGTATGCATAGGAATTGAATGGCTTATTGTAGTGTTCACATGGATAGCATGATAGGATCCCAGATAGGATCCCAAATTCATGAGGATTTTCCCCCTAAATAATAAATAACTTCCATTTGTTACAATGGTTTCAGATGTGTCTTATAAATTTACTGTTATACCCCTAGCCCCTTGAATATTAATGATAGTTTTTCATTAGAGTTACTCAGAATTTCTAGCTAGTATTTGACTTCTTCACAACAATGTACTGGAGGCTGGGGCACTGTCCTAAAAATATATTCCCTTTCTGTTTACTCTTTAGTTAAGCTATGTAAATTATAAAATGTGTTATAAAAATTATCTTGGCAGGCTTTGTGTTGTGAGTATGAAACTGTTAGTTAAAGCATATTGGTGCAAAAAATGTAGGAGTGGATCATCTGTCCACACTTAAAAAAAAATACAAAACACAGAGCTGGCAAGAAGGATCAGTGGTTAAGAGCACTTACTTCTCTTCTAGAACACCCAGGTTTAGTCCCAGCACCTACATGGCCGCTTACAACTCCAGTTCCATGGAATCTGAAATCCTCTTTGGGCCTGTATGGGCACTGGCATTCTATATCTATATCTATATATACACATACATACACAAATATTTTATATATATACATACACAAATATTATATATATATATATATATATATATATATATATATATATATATATGAATAAAAACCAAAAGCCAAAGAGCATATTGAAATAGGTATGCTACAGAGAAGACAAGATTCATCTTCAGGAAGTATGAGAACAAGTAGACGCTGCCTGATGAAAAGTCAGTCATAACAGAAAGGGTTGAAAGTCACTACATGGTCACCTCTAGAGTAGGAATGGCATAGAGAAGCCAAGAAGAAATGAGTTGACAGATAGTGAAACACTATTAGACAGCAGGAGTTTGTGCTGCTGTTCTTTAGCACAGTAAGATGAGTTGGGTTTATGTAATTCTATGATATAAATCAAGTTGTATAAGAGTATAAAGCTTTCCAATATATAGAAACAATAAGTGTTTGAAAGGATAGAAATGATAATTCTCCCAATATGGTGAATATACAGTGTGTACATTCAACCAATTAATTATCACACTATACCACATAAATATGTACAAATACCATGCCACTATGAAATGTGCAATGAAAATTTGCTTAAAGCCTCTAATCCAGGATTATAGATGAATATCTTACATATTTGCTTACATAATTTTGGTATCTTTTCTCATTTTCTTTATATCAATAGTAATTCATCTTCATTGTCAAAGCTTATTGAATGTATGCAAGGGGAAAGAAAAAGTGGAGATTACATTTTCCATTAAAAATTAATGTACTTGTGGCTCAGAAAATATTGTCTTAACTTGGAAAATAAAATTTCCTGTGAAGATGCCAAGGGGGTTAAAGGGAACAGAGGGTGAGCTAAGAGAAAGGACCAGGGACTGAGGAGATGGATCAAGGGTTGAGAGTCAATATTCCTTTTGCAGATGAACTGAGCTTGGTCCCCAGAACCCATGTTGGGTTGCTCACTCCAGGATGAAACCACAGCTAAGTTCTAGGGGAGCTGACATTTTTTTCTGGCCTGTGGGGCATTTATACTTACAAGCTCACACTGCATCCCCGGAATATACATATGCACACAACTGAAAATGAAATAAACATCTTAGGAAGTAGAGATGCTAGGGCCATGGGCACATTTGATGGTTTTAGTGAATAATGAGAAGAAACAGTGTTGTATATTCATTCCATTTACATGTTGGTTAATGAACTAGAGGCCAAGATCTGATGGCGGGCCCAACTGGACCCACATCTGAGCATAATTTATCACACTGAAAATCCCAGTGGTGAATATTAATCGGCATTCAGTTGACTATTTACACCCACATGCTTTATTGTCCACCTACCAATATAAAAGGTCATAATGGTGAGCTTGGGTGACATGTTGGGACTCCTATTTGACAAACCTCTCCCGCCCTGATGACTCAGCTATGGAGCTCACATGAAAGCCATTTGAAGACTAAACAATTGGACTTGCCTCTTGCTAATAAGACACCATTTCACACAGAACTACGTAAAGCAATAATAAGTTATCCTTCAAATTAGCTTAAGCAATGAGGTGCAAAGGAGTCTTTAAAAATAAGAGCCAACACCCTGCTTTCTGTGCGCTATATAATGTCCCCAGCAGAGACATAACATCCCCATCTTTAAACCTGACATTTGACGACTTGAGTCTTCTTAGCTGACTTCGATTAAGGGTTTGGAGAATATGCCTCCTAGCTGCTGTTCATTCAGGAGCTTGGGTAAAGCCCCATCACTCTCTGCCATCACACATGACTCTAATCCTAAAAGCTTTGAAGATGGAATTTTCTTGCCCAGCAGTTGTCACAACAGAACTTGGCTCCTGGGCAATTTTCAAGAAACCTACAGTGAAGCCTCCACCCACCAACCAGCCGCTTGCAAACAGCACCCATGTAAAGTGGAGCCTGGTGTGCAAAGTTCCTGGATCTCCGGAGCTGACCGAACAACAAGGTCCAGTTCCAAGACCCATGGAAGGGCAACATGCCAATCAGGAATCTCCCCAGCTGTGCCAGAGTGTGCTTCTCAACCCTGCCAGTCAAGAAATTGTCAGCAAGTGGGTTTTGTAGTCCAGAGCTATCAACCTGCAAGTTACATGGCCAAGTGTCACCCACTAAAGTCTACAATGTCTGAGAGTTGCCAAACTGTGGAGTTTGAAACCAGCCAATGCTACTCTCAGGTTCCTGAGTCCAGTTCATGTAACTCCTCCAGCAACGTTGTCTTTGGGACACAACTTGTGGAATCTTCTAGCTCCTATGAGCCAGCATGCTGTGTGACAGGAGGTTCACAAATGCCTAGTAAGTGAAGATTTAGAGAGGATATGGTTGACTTGAATTGATTTCTTAATACTTGAGAACTCCATTTCTCTAAATATAAAATAATGTTTTTGGAAATGCCTTTCCTTTCAGGTATTTCTGGTGATAAGCCAGGATTATAAAGCATGATAACCATTTTAGAACATGTGACACTATTTACTGTTTATCAGGGAATAACCATTGGATTTTGAAAAAACAACTTTCACTACTAGCTATTGTCTATGAAAACATTTAGCAGGCTATATGGCCAGCTAACTGATATGATGGCACCAGAAGTCCATGAAATGTTGGAATTCATCCCAAAAGTTCAAGGTGCTATACAATTTGTTACGTCAAACTCAATATATAATAAATAGATATTAAATAACATCAGAAATAATACTAGAACCAGCTCTACTTGCTAACTGAATAAAAACAGTTGTAAATAAGAAATGGAGTCTTTCATCTGAAAAGTGCAAGAAGTCTGAATTTCTCCACCATGGACTTCTGAAGAATGCAGTATCTGATAGCCTTTAAACAGATAATAGTTAGAATACTCACTATATTTCCACTGTTCTTACTTTTCTCGTCTCTTTTCCTGGCGATCTGGGGATGGAAAGAATATGATTTCTCTAAAATAAAATAGACTTCTTATAAATCTAGTTGTTATACCATCATTTTTCTTCGGCATTTTGGTGAGGATTTTTAAAAGACGTGTGTGTGTGTGTGTGTGTGTGTGTGTGTGTGTGTGTGTGTGTGTGTGTTTGTGTGAGAGAGAGAAAGAGAGGGAGAGGGGAAGGGCAAGGGAGAGGGAGAAAGATTTCTTGGAGCTAGAGTTGCTGCCTGACTTAAGTGGGAGCTAAATGCAGGTAGGTCCTCTGGATGAGCAGCAAGTACTCCTAAGTTCTGAGCCACCTCTCCAGTCCTCTTGCTGTGAGTTTTCTATTGGAGTTTTGAAGGATGCTTTGATGTGATGGAAATAGTATGCATTTGAAAATTAAAGTAACATGCTCCCTTACCACGCTTTTTAGGGAAAGAGCCAGAATATGACATCACATTTTTAGTTGTTATACAAAGATAGCAAACACACCCAATTTAAAGAACATGAAATCATGGAATCAAAATTGAATGTGAACATTTGAAGTGAAATAAATTTATTTAGGTAGCTTGGTTGTTTTCAAGCTTTGGGGGCAGTCTTTAATGGACCTCTCAATTTGGAAGAAATTAAAGTTGGCTATTGACATGGGTTGCGAAGACAAACTTCCTGAAATTTAAATTCCATGTTTATTGAAGGCTATTTGAACCCCAGCTGGATGATTGAGTGAAAGTTATGTAACTATTCTTCAAAAAAGTATTTTGTTTTCCATTCTAAACTTGAAACTATAAGCATAGAGTACTGTGAGGGTTAAGTCAATACACTGAAATTGTCAGTACATCATCTTGTGTATAGTAGAGGCTCAATAAGATGCAGCCTTGCTTGGAGACACAGCAGGCTGCGGGTAACGGAGATTTGTAAGCAAACCCAGAGATCTATGAAAAATGAAGAAGGTGATCATGCCACAAAGAGAAAAGAACTACTTTAGAATTAATTTTAAAGGAGAAGATTCAGAAATACACCTTGCAGTGGAGGGGTGGGGCTGAAGAGATACCGAGGTTAAAAGGCCTTGCTGATCTTGCAGAGGACCTAGATTATGTTGCCAAACACTACCATGGTGACTCAAGACCATCTGTAACTCCAGCTCGAGGGAATGTGTGACTTCTGGCTTCCGAAAACACCAGCTATACAAGCATTTATGCGAGCAAAAAAAAAAAAAAAAAAAAAAAAAAAACACACCAAAATAAAAAGAAAATAGCAAGACCCCTCCACGCTGTAGCTAGCTGAAGTGAGCTATTGAAGTATTGTCAAAGCTCACGTGCCAATCGATTCACCAGTCAGTCTGTGGGTGAGTGTTTTGGAAATTCTACATGTCGTGTTGACTAAGCCCAAGAGGAACCCAGATGGAATGTCATTTCTAGATGTCTGGAAGGGTTCTCTGGATGAGAGCAGCATTGAAATCAATGAACTCAATCAATGATCCTTCTCATGGCAGGTGCCCATTATAAATCAATCAAAGGGCTGGATCCAACAAAACATGGAGGGGGAAGGAAGTGCTTCTTGCTTCTTGCTCTTCTATTGAGCAGGGACTGTAGTTTATACTTTGGGCTGTAGTTTATACTTTCAGCTCCCCTGGTGCTCAGGCATCCACTCAGATCAAATGACAATTGGCTTCCCTGGATACCCAGGGCATGTAAAGCAGATGAGGGGGCTTCTTCATTATACTCTATAGTCATGTGACTATGGAAGAACTACGCAAGATTTCCACTTTTATAATTAATGTATAGCGTAAAACATAACTGTAACGAGTACCGTTTTTCGCCCGCCGCCTGGTTTTGTCCCACCGTCGCGACAGCCCCAAATAATGCACAGAGACTCTGTATTTGATACAGTGCTATTGGCCAGGTGCTAGTTTCTTATCGGCTAGCTCTGTCTTAAGTATTAACCCATTTCTATGTATTTCCACGTGGTCTTACCAGCAAGAGGCGGCTTGGCGGTTCTATTCTCTCCAGACTCTCCATGTTGACTCTTCCTCCCTACTTCCTATTTCCTCCTTGTCTCCTAGTCCCTCCTATCTTCCTTTCCTATTGGCCAACAGTGCTTTATTCATTAACCAGTATGAGAAACATATATATACAGAATGACATCTCCCATCACATAACTTGCTTCTGTTCTTTTTAATAGCCCCGATTTAGTATTATATTGAGACAATGAAGAAGGCTTGAACTTAAATTCTTTCCACGTTTGTTCAGATGCGTTTTGGAGATGTGCCTTGAACAGATCCTGAGGGAGATGTCCAAGAGGGAGGCTAAACAATAATTGTACTACTCGATTTTTTAACAATGGAAGCATTGCTAGTGGACACAGAGGAGTATTCCTGAAGCCAGATGTTGCTATATGGCATCTGGCCACAGCTGTAATGCTAGCAACATAGCTTGCCTGCAACAAACACTTTATCTCATGCCAGCCTCACAGGATCTCAGTCCACTCAACATGTGAACATGGATAAAATTTATTCATAAAGAAGATTGCTGTCAAAGTTCAAAGATGTTCAGATGGACCACTGTGATGAATTAAATTCATTCAACTTCTGCTTACTGTGTGGGCCTTCTCGTATATCTTTCTGTGGTTACTATAACTTATATGGAAGAATGGCCTTTATTTAATAATGACTATATATGGCTAGGGAGGTGTGGGAGAATTAAATTCCCAGAAGAGAGGGATGACTGTTAAATAAGGCTGAGTTTTTATTCCTCCCACATTAAACTAACTACATATAGTCATTATTAAATAAAGAAAGGAATGACTGTTAAACAAGATTTATTTTCATGTCTATTATACTTATCACTCTAGACTAGGAACTCATTCCTTTAGGTTGAGCTTGGCCATTTTCTATAAAAATGTTATCTGAGGGATAGGCCAGCCCATGATGTAACCCAACATGAAACACATGTAAATCTCTCATAGAGATGAATCCTGTGACCCCAAATACAAGATTTTTGATATTTGAATACAAAATGGTATGATTTCAGGAGGAGGCCTTTGAGGAAAAATTTATTGTAAGGAGAAGATCATGAAACAGGTTATGACTAGATCTTGCTCAATTTCAAATTCTGCCAATTACTAGCCGAGTGCCTTGGGACGATTTGACATTTCAGAGACTCTGTTCTTTTGCCGTAAAGTGGATAAAATGGTGCCTAATACAGTAGATGATCGTGACAGATCAATGATAAAGTTCCAATTAGGCGCTTAGTGGAGTGTTTAACACGTGGCAAGTGTGCAATATATGCTAGGTATCATTTGACACTTCATTTGGTATTTGGCTCTTGGGGCTCAACCTGAGTTTATGATTGAGCGTGTTGCACTGCAAATACAAACCTCAGCAAGATGAGCCTGTTGATAGCATGGGAAAGAGCTGAAGCAGTTGGTATGTACTGGGATGCCACAAGGGATTCACATTCTGTATATTTCAGAACACTCTTTGTACATCAAGTTACTCATTTCGTTCTAAACAGAAACTAGTAGGATCTATGCATTAGTTTGTCAAAGTTGTGAGAACATAAGGGATTTCAATTATATGGTTTTCTGTTTAAAGTCAAGCAAAAATAAGTATCAGGAACACCTGCATGCCTACACGCAATGTGCCATAAGCTGTACAGAGCAAAGCTAATACTATCAGAGCATTCGGTGTTTATCAAACATTCTGTATATGTCTTAGCATTTTCAGCAAATGGATAAGAGAATCATCATTGTATTACCCTATTATTCCAATAAGATGAAGGATTGCATAAATGGAGTTGCTAGATAGGTGTAATAAGTATATAACAGAAACGGTTATCATATAGAATAGGTTTGAATATATAAATTACATGGCATTACTAGTTGTCGGGGTAATTCCAAGTATAAGGGACACCTGTGTTATATGGAATGTCAATAAAAACAATTTAATTGTAAATGAGCAATTTGGTTAATTACAGTAAATATGTATAGAGAGGAGTTACAGAGAACTAAATATAGTTGGCCATTTGAAATGTTTAAAATTCAGGAATTAATGCAACAAATGATACCCATTTATTATAGGTTTGAAAATGTTATATACTTCAACATCTTAGAAATAATATGAAATTGATTACATGATGTATGTGAGGTAAGATCTGTATATGGCAGGAAGTGTGACTTCTGAACAATATAAGAGATTTTTTTTTTTAGTTCTAATATCAATAATTTCAGTTTCCATTACCTTTATCCTCCCACTTTATCTAGATAAAGTTCATCTGGAAAACCTCGTGCTCATTGGAGACATGGGCGATGAAGAGAGGATTTGATTGAGAATCTGTACACCTTTCTTGGACAACAGCTTTCTCTTACTCTTCTTCCTCGGAACATTCTGGAGTCCAGTTCACACCTGCAGCTTAT